ACTGTCATCAAGTTGTTGTATTTCTACTGCCGTAGAGGCTGAGAAGCTGCAGGATGAAGGAAATGGAAATATAAAGCAGGTGAGGTTTTGGAAGGGGAAGGAGCAGGGAAGGGATCCGACCACCCCAAATCAGACGAGTTAACCCCTGACCCCTGTCCTTACCGGATTTAGTCCTTCCATATATTTGAACGTGTCCAGAAATAGAGCACTTCAGGACTTATTTAGAACCCAGAATGTTGTGTACACTGTAGTTTCCATTTGCAAAAAAACATGTACCTTAAGATAAAGAAAACAGGTTTGAGCTTCAGCAACATTTCATAAGGACAGATCATTTTATTTGATGGTTAACGGTCATCCTGGGGAGTACATTGGACCCAATAATTGTGAATGCGGTGTACACACACACACACACACACACACACACGACAGTGTGATCTCAGACCTTTTCACAAGTCCAGCTTTATTGTGACAGTTCAGACAAACATCAAACTGCCTCCTTTAACAAGACAACTTTCTTCACCCACGTTAAATGAGTGTGTGGCCTCCCCTCCTCCCTCGCTGTGTGTAAACTCTGAGCAGCTCCGTCCTCTCCGGACGGCAGCGGCTGAATCTCAGTAGCCGTCCCTCCTTCTCTCGCCTGCTTCAAGTCACAGGGAGTCAGGAAAAAAAAAAAAAAAAAACACCATAGAAACTTAGCCTTCGATACCGTCCAAAACACTGAAGGTCTTTAAGAGTTAAACGCCTCTTTTTTTATCGTTTTTTTTGTTTTAAATCAACAGTCTTATTTACAAATGGCCGTCTACCCCACCTGGCTGCGCACGTTGCTGATCGGTCATTAACCAAGACGTTATAAACAATTAATCGAAGAAGCTTCACATCGAGAGCGAGAGGGTAAAACCAAAATGCGGAAAGGGGTTTAAAAAAACAAAAACCAATTATGTTAGGTCACTTCTCAGGTCGGCCCCGGCCGGGCCAAAGGGGGAACAGGAGAGCCGGGGCCTGGGCAGGGGCTCCGGTCAGGCCCGAGCCGGACCCGACCCGTCTGTTTACAGGAGCTCACAGAGAAGGCGAGTTGTCCTCGATCGCTAAAGCGCTAAATTACAGCAGCGGTCCAAACGACGGCGTGGGGGGGAGCGCTCGCCTCCTCCCACATCCGCTACGATACTGGAAAACAAAGGCTTCGTTACGCAGGTAGCCTACATCCGGAAATAGAACACCTCTGCATCAAAATATCTCCGTATTAAAAACAAAACAAAACAAAAAGCGGTTGGGTACTGTGGGATGACGACGGGTGGGAAATCACTAACCCCTGAACGGTGGGCCAGGGCCCGCCGTTTGCCTAAATCTTAAATACACCGATGAGCCTTTTACCTGAGAACGGGCTTATCGTATCCAAAGGGAAAAACCTGTCGTGTTTAAATCTAGTGGTGCCTCATCTTTTCACATCTATACGCACACACACACACACACGCACGCACACACACACAAGTACTCGTGTCACACAGGAAAGGTTATAGCGAAAAAAAGGCTAGCAGAAGTACCGTTTTAAATAGCTGATATAAACACTCAAAAAGCAAGTCTTTCTCTAAAAGAAGAATCATCTTTGGAGAGACACGGAGAGAAATGTGAATGATAAAGAACATCGGAGCTCCCTTCCGTGTCTCCACCCCCCCACCCCCCCCGTCCAACGTGGCGCGTGCCTCCCGAGACCTCTCGGTTTCAGGGTGGAGCGTTCCCAGGAAACGGAGAGCGTCCAGGTGTTGTTGTTTTTTTTTGTTTCATTTTTGTTTTTTTGCATAGCCAGACAGTGGGTATGGCCACTGGAACCACTTGAAGAGTTTTAAAAGAAGTGGGGAGCCTTGGTCCATGTGTACCCCTTCATGCCAGCTGGCCCGGGGGGGGTTGTGGGGATGGGTGGGGGGGGGTTTAGCCGGTCACTCCCACAGAAACGGCTTCCCGCTCACAGGGTGGGCTCTTTCTGGCGCTCGCGTCCGTTTGACGTCTTCTTGACCTTAGAAATGCCTTCCAGCGCCCCGGACTCAGTGACCCTGGAAAACCATGGAAACGCAGAGTGAGAGTTGGATAGGAAAATCCCGTCTGTGGACATTTATTAGCTAGAGCTACAGAAAGATACTTCTGATTAGGTGCATCGAGAGAAAAGTGAGCAGTGAAATCTTAAACACCAAACAAAACTCACACACAGAGAAAAAAAAAACCTCAGCTCTTGTTTGACTTTCGGATTCCACTTTGTATTTTGAGACCGATTTGTTACTGATTAGCTTTGGTCGGGTCTCTGGGTGTAGCCGTGGGGTTAAATGGGACCCCCTCTGGTCCTACGTGTGTGTGTGTGTGCACCCGGACGCGTGCGCTTACACTTCGTCCATCTCCACGTCCTCCTCGTCCTGGGGGAGCTGGAGGTAGGGGTTGTTGGACGCCGGCCGGAACTTGTAGCCCGTCAACACGAAAAATATCAGCGTGGACACCTCCACCAGAAACTGAGGGGAAAGGAAGGAGAGGGCGCGTTTACTGATGGGGCGCCTTTAACTGTGTGTCAGACAAATCCGGCTCGCGTCTGTCCAGTCAAATCTGTCAATCTTATGGGGGTGTTTTTTGTCTCAAAAATTAATCAGTATTAAAGCTCAGCCCGTTAACTAACAACGGCTATCGTTACTATCGGTGATGAGGCAGAAGGGGGCTCTAAAAAAAGCGTTTATATAAGTATGTAATTACAGCAGTGCCCAGTCACTGAGAGCGAGCTGCCGGATGTCTGTGACCTCTGAGGAGCAGGCGCTCTGCAGTAAAGTCAGACTGTTACTGGACACCGTCTTACCTCATAGCACCACTGCCACTGGAACGGCATTGTGATCTTCAGCAGAATGGCTATGATCCTCGTGAAGTAGATGTAACAGACGATCTGGAATGAAACGGTTCCATCATGACGCAAAAAAATAAGGCAAACCGTTGTTTTTTGCTTATACAAATGTGCTTCTCCGGGCCGTTTCTTTCCGGCCTCTGCAGCAATGACTCTGCTGATTCAAAAGCCTATAGACATTTTGCCAATTGCTGTGACTCAGTGCAGTCCACTACGAGAGCTAGCCTTCAAATGAAATACTACACTATAATCTATACATTTGGAGGAGAAAAACAGTTGAAAACAGCTGTGTCGCAACAAAGCCAACATTGACTCTGCACTTCCCACAATAATTCAAAATAGATAAATAAAAAGAAGCAGTGGTGACATTTGATAAGTGCAGACAAATACTGCTGAGCTAAGGGCTCGCTCACCATCACATAATAGTGCCGGAAGAGCTTGAGCTTCTCCAAGTTCATGGCAGCTGAAAGAGAAACAGAGCGGCTTCAGCGTGTAAAGGGCCCACAGCGGCTCAGGTGAGCGCACGCCTGATGGAAATTCTAATCACCTTTCCCATCTGTGCTAGAAGCCTCCTGTAGGTGACGGATTGACCTGCGGAGACAAGTTTTAGAGTTAAGAATTTAACTGTGCATGAGGTACAGTAGAACCTCTACGGACGAATTTAATTCGTCCCGGGAACCAACTTCATATGTTCAAATATTCGTATGTTGGTTCAAATATTACCATAAAAAAGTTCAAATCATCAAAAAAGGGGGGTTTTATTGGCACTGGTAGAGGTGGAGAGTGAGATACAGTACTTACTCTAACTCTCACTACGTTAAATTTAAACTAACTTATCTATTTTTTTATCATTTTTATATTCTATATATCTTTTTTTCTATGACTTCGACGTCAAATTTATTTGGATATTGAGTTGTTGCTGTAAAATTCTTATTTTTAGGCAATCGTAAGTAGAGGTTCTACTGTAAATCAAATCTGAAACTGCATAGAAACCCACAGATGGGATGAGGAGGCTTTGACAGCCTTTAATCTAACACAGTCTTTGGTCTCCTGACAATTACGGCCTTTTTCGGCTTTCTAAAAGTGAATGTGTATTCTAACCCACAAAATGCATTTTAACATGAAGGACGCATCTCGTCTCAACCTGCTGATCTCCACTCCGATTGGACCTGGTCTTAATTCGGTTTTGTGTTTGATTTGAAAAGATGGAAAGTGTAACTGATCGGGCTCGGACGGGCCGCGTGCAAACACTACCAGACGACGGGGAAGAGGATGGCTCCGCAGCAGATGAGGTCCACCAGGAACAGGATCTCCTTCCACAGGTAGTACTCACTGGAGCCCTCCTCCGTGGACTCGATGATGATGTAGGCGACGTTGGCCAGGACCTGTGGGGGGGGGAAAGCGAGTAGTAAGAGGAAAAAAAACAACAACAAAACTCTGCCTTTCGGTGAAAATGGAAGCAGGCGTGCGGAGCGGCACCTGCAGAGGGATGACTATCATGAAGATTTTCTTCTCCTTGTCGGACAGGATGTATTTGACGAAAGCCCAGCCCGTGCCGATCAGCGCCAGCGTGATGAACAGGAGAGCTCCTTTCAGCCTGAGGAGCAAATGAAGATAGACGCCGGTAAAAAAAACAAAAAAAACAACAAGCAAAAAGAGCTCTGAACGGCGTACGGGCGCGCGGGTTATGCTCACAGGTGGGTTATGTAATACATGACGGCCCAGCCTTCGATGGGATGGCCCTCGGTGTTGATGAAGTGGTAGTTGATCTATGGGAGACACAGCAGGGACTCAAACACCGCCAGCACCACACACACACAATCAGAGCCGGGCCTGTGTGTGGAGAACCGCTGAGGCTTACGCTGTGGAACACCAAGGACGTGGACTTTGTGAACGCCAGGGCCGCCATCAGCCAGTGGATCTTAAACACGCTGTACCTGCAAACAGACACACGAGTCTCAGTGCGCTTTGGGTCTGGGTGCTGTCCGCCAGGGGGGGGGCCTTTCCATTTTCCAGGAATTTACGGAAAGAGGAAACCTAACGCCTTCCCCCTGCCTGCCCGGCCTCTCTCTCTCTCACGTTATGTCTGTGGCAGCTGCCACGTTTCTCTTCATCAAATCAGCTGCTGATCAATTTAGAGAAGGGCCCGCATTACCGTAACAGCTGTCATGTGTGGACATGCAGGGACTAATCTGTGCTTTAGGCAAAATGCCAGGGAACTCTTAAAGACCTCTTCCACCTCTTCAAAAAGCATCTCCTTTCCTAACTCTTAGCCATACCTCTGTATACCTCTACTACTCTTTCTGCACTTCCTTCTCTCTCTTTGCTGTCACCACTGATTCTGACTAGGGATTTTCCTCTAGAGAACTTATGATACCGGTAATATTGTGTCTACTTTGTAAGTCGCTTTGGATAAAAGCATCTGCTAAATGCATAAACATAAAACACTATTGATTGGAGTTTTCAGAAAGCACCTGCCAACACAGAACAGTTTTCCGCAAATTCCTTCCAAATCCAACACGAACGAGCCCGTGACGCGAGCCTGATTCTTTAAAAAGGGAGAGGGGCAACGTCCGGGTGACGCTGCAGAACCGATGCTGTGACCCGCCCACGGGATGTTCTACTGACAGGTGTGGTGCTAGAGCCTCAGGGATCCGGTACCTGTGTTTCATGAGCGTGTAAACCCACACCATGGCGGCGGTGAAGAAAACGCCGGCCATGCAGATGTAGAGGCGGGACAAGGGGATCTCTGCCGCCGACAGGTAGTTTCCCTGGTTTTTTTCCGTCACCTCCACCTGAAGAGGAGCCGGTCAGGTGAGGGCAAAAGCTTGGCCTGAGCCGGGAGTGCCGCCGGAGCACAGCGGCGGGGGACTCACCGTGAACGAGTAGGGCAGCTTGTCTCCGGGCACTCTGTTCCGGCAGTAGTGGAACTTGAGGCTGTACAGACCCTGCGCCTTTGTGCCCACCTCCATCTGGAACTGTGAGGGGAGAGGTTTAGGCAACCGCAGCAGGACAAGCGCCCGGGACGCTTCTAGAGGCTGAGAGCGGCGCACTTACGCTGAAGTTGTAGGAGCCGTTTACTTTGTCCAAGGCTAAAGTCAGATAGTTGGCCTTCTCCAGCTACAGGAGGACACAGTTCGCTCAGATTAGGGTACGAAAACAACTGGCCAACAAGGACAGAAACGGTTACCTCACCAGGAATCTGGTCTCCTCGACTTTCTTAGCTTCCACGTCAGTGATTGTCTTCTCTTCTGTCTTTTCTTCTGTCTTTGTCTTTTCTTCTGTCCGAGCTTCTTCCTTCTTTTCCTGGTTAACATTTCCATTTTGGCTGTTCACTGACTCCTTTTGGACGTTTGAGTCTGACGTTTTATCAGCACCGGCATTTCTGGCTTTCCTCTCACCTAAAAGAGACAAAAGTAGGCTGAAAACTGGCTCACTCGAAGCTCATCCTGATTGAAATGGACTCAGTATTCATCCTGCCGTGGATGCCTCCGAAAGCGTGGAGTGTGATCAACTCTGACCTTTATTTGCGTCAGCCTTTGCTCTTGCCATCAGAACGTTGTCTTGGACCCCCATGACTCTCACATTGACACTATACGAGAACAAAAGATCCATTCAGTTTCACAAACAGGCTGTCCCTGCAACAGACGCTAACACACAGCGATGGTGAAGCGCGCACACACACAGACACACACCTGAGGCTGTTGATGTCGATAAGAAAAAGAATGAGGGGTTCGTCGTTGGCCGACTTCGTCATGGTGAGCGGGCATGTCTCCGTCTCCTCTGCCTGGAGCAAACGCAACAAAAATGTGAACGAACCCTCCCTGAACTACCCACGTCCATCCAGAAGTGCACGGGAAAAAAAAGCTTTACATGCGCAACAGAAAAAGATACAGCTGTTTTAACTGGAAACAAAAAGGTGTCGCACTCACTGTGTAGGACAAGACTCCGTTAACACGCGACCTGGACAGACTGAAACCAACCTAGGGAAAGAGCAAATGCATGTTGGTGTTATACGAAAAGAAGGATGTGTCAAGACGCTTTAGGCAGAAAAACTGGTTCACTCGAAGAAACGACCGCCTACCCGCTTTAAAACAGGCAATCTAAATCTGTCTTTGAAGGCTTCAAGCTGAGGCTTTGATTCCAGTCAAGCCTATGATTGCTCAGGTTTTGCTCCCTTTTCATTTTCAGATTCATCCTGTGACTATATTTTCCTCTTTTCTATAAAAAATTGAGACCTGACAGCCATGCCCCGATGAGAACAGGACTTGTCTGATATTTACAGAAACAGTCGATCATTTTCTTCTGTGACTCAAGGATATATCTGAGGTTTAGGATGATTCACTGCTTATTTTAGAAATTGTGGCAGTCGGTTGAAAGGTATCAGCTATTCCCATGTAAGAAACAGTCCAAGCAGAGCTCTAAAATCAGAAATCAGTCTAATCTCACCCTATTCTGAACAAGACAATATTCTGACTACAGTGGGTGGCGTATTCCGTTTATATTCCCTGTTTTCCACGAGGCAGACTAAAGAGATATTAGTTGAAATTGAAATTGAATGAATAGCCACTGCTTCAAAAAGTACCCGTCTACCGTTTTATTCCATTAAACTTTCCATCACGTACATAGTGATACGACTTTCTGAGGTGTTGCATAAAGTCTGGAAGTCAGGTTTCCCAGCCAAGCGATGCAACTTCTGGTGGCCTTTTCTTCGATGTTTTTCCAGATGGACATCAGGGATTCAAAGTTTTGAAGCTGAGACTTGAACAGCTTCTCCAGTCACTGGGATTTTACTGTGAGTTTTAACTGATTGTTTCAAAAACACCTCTTACCGGATAGTTGCTGTAGTTCACAAGCTTTTCGTCGAGCAACAGGGAAGAGAGGCTCACATCCAGAGTCCCGTTAGCGAAGAAGCCAAAGTTGTTGAGGTCTACGGCGAACCGCGTTTCATTCTGAGGAGAAAGGGGAAACGAAGGTTCAACAACGACTCCTCACAGCTGTGGCTACTTCTACACGCTTTTAGCCACGTTTTCTTCCAAATATAACTGAAATCTAGCACTGTACAAATACACGAGATGATGTTGGCTCATTTAATGTTGTTGACGCTAATCAATAACTACCGGTTAGCTTCTTAAAAAAAACAACCAAAAAACGTCTAGCTGCCCGATAACAACTAACACATAACAACACTATTATTGACTTACCTTTAAGGTGAGCTTGTGTATTCTTGCGGAGCAGACAGAAAGCAGTGATAGAAGAAACAACCCAGCTAAACAGCAGTCTCTATGTACCACGGCCATCACCACTTGCTAACGGTATCCAACTGGTGCTATTAGCTATCGACAATCCTGCCAGATGGTTCAACAGTGCGCTGGCTTGGAGTCCTCACCGTACCCAAAATCGGCCACCGCCACGCTTCCCGTGGAAAGAAACACCGTACTGTCACTTAGCTTGTGCTATTTGGTGTGAAATGATAACCGCGTATTTTATGTTTTGCGATTCTTTTGTGCTTTCATCGCGTAGAACAGCAGCTAGCTGGCAGACGATGACAATATCTCACTTCCTGGTCTCGACTGCAAAGTACAGCACGTCGCAAGGGTCAAGCCCACATCCGTTTATTTTATTTTTGTTTAAGCCGTAAATATGCAGCCAAGCGAGCGCAACTTAAAACGTATCTCTTATAGATATCAATAACACGAAGGCAATAAATTAGATGTTGCTTTACTGTCAAACAAGCGAGGTTTAAAGTAGGTACTGACTACACCTTACAAACAAACTGGTTTTTGTCACGTGGTTCGTATCTGACAGTGAGCTTCCGGCTGCGAGCTTTCACATGAACAGTGACCTTCCACGTCAGACGAGAACTTTGGTTGCCATGTTGTTGGGTGCAACATTTTAATTCATTTTTTTTTTTATTAAAAGTGTACGTATAAATGTATTGTCACTGCAAACATTTCAGAAATGCGTTCCAGAAATTCAATTTTGGTCATGCAAGTACCGTCTGCTGACCCCAGATGGAGAAATAAGTACCAGCACAAACATCTGAGAGTTTTAGAGACTGAACATTTTGACTTGGTACAGCAGGGAAATGCATATGTACATTTGATGTCCTCCTACTACTAATGAACCCAAACATTGGAGTGGACAGTAAAGTTAAGCCTGAGTTGAGTGCTTTTGCTTACAGGAGGTGGATCTCACTGGCCGGGCTTCACAGTAAAGGACTTTTACAACACATGGCTTTAAAATCAAACTTCAGTTCTTAAAATGGTAGTCAAACTGTATGATTTATTGAGTAATTTAATTAATCCAAATGTCCTAAAAGAAAAAAATAGTTTATTTCTGATTGTGGATGTTCACATTCCATGTTCCAGGATGGCCAGCGTTGATTATTGGGGAGACGATGACAGCTCCACCCGCAGCTGACACTGAGGTTGTGGGAGCTTGGGATGGTAGAGGAGGATTTTCCCCATCGCTGGAGGAGGACGCAGGTTTTAACTTCTCTGTGTGTGACAAGATAAACGCATGAGTCAAAAAGGCATTAATTAAGTTTCAAGGTGATGGTAAAAGTTCACAAACACCTGCATATTTGTTCCTCAACTTCTCCGCAGCATAGTTGTTTTGCATCTTCCTCAGGATCTCTACCGTGATCTTCACAGCCATCTGTTCACCATAGCTCTCGATGACCTTGCTCACAGTGTCGGTCCGGTCTACATCATCCTGTAGATGGGCCTTTGCAATTGGTTTACAGCTGTCCAAGACCTCGTATGTAAGGTGCCACTTAAATCTTTTGAAGCTGTCATTATCGACTCCATCTAGAGTATTCAGGAGCAGATGGTGAGCCATCACGCCTGGTCAGTGGACAGACAGAGGGAAGATATTAGTTTTTAAAAAAAGGTTTCCATTAATACCACAAACATTTGCTTGAGGCCGAGACTTCTCTCCTATTTGTCATATTTTCACTTTCTATTTCCCTATTTGATCCAAGAGTCCCTCACTTTCATCCAGGTTCGGGCCACAAACTTCAAAAGACTATTAAGTGTTTGGCAGGAGTCCCTGTCCCTGAATGACCATCATTTTCAAAAGAAAAAGTACAAAAAAAAATAAAGGATAGCTTAGGATGCATCATTGTTAGGATAGTGTTTTCCTATCCGAGGTCATGCAGCAGACACAACAAACCCCACGGTGTCATCACACATTTCCGGTATCCAAATAGGTTTCTGTTCATCATCACATAGTCTTTTTGCGGGTTATGGATCTAGCTGACTGATAGAAGCACTTTTTCCTAATTTATGGCAGAGCGCCGATCCCTTTATGGGCTCCATAGAGGAAGTACCGAGGAACAGTGCGCGCATTGTTTATAGACAAAAAAAACCCGGTTACAAACATATAGATCCACTGACCGACTATTTTTTAGTCCAAACATACAGAACTGAGAAAGATTACCTAATTTATTCACAGACAGTACAAATGACAAAGTGAGATGGGGGTTAGAAAAGCCCTGATCCTGATCCAGAGGAGTGGAACAAACCCAGGCAGCGCAGCCTGGATCAGCTGCACTTGAACCGGCACTAATTCAATTATGAATCCGAGGAAAAAGCCTAGAATCCCCCCCCAAAGTTGCAAATCGCCAATGGATGAGCGTTACGATGAAGAAAAGACAAAGTTACCTTACTCTCGACGTACGAGCGGCTGTCAATATGAAGGGAAATGGCGGATTGTGTAACTTTCGATTCATACAGAGGATTATGCAATCCTATAGCCATATAAGCAAAACTCTTTATTTTCTTTACAGGGACAACACAACTACGCGCTGTTTGTTGCTTTTATAATCAATGACAGGTAACAATCGACGTGGGAGATTCCAGATTTGGAAAATCCATAATGTTTTTAGCTTCATATAAACAACTTTCAAGTACGGAGGAGTCATATGTCAACAGCTTTTATCCGCATTCATTCGATCCCGAACTTGGTACTGAAGGAGGGAATCAGTCACCTTGGTTAAAGGTTTAGGTTTTCTTGGGTTCCAATGGCAGAAATCTAAGATCCAAGCAAACTGAGTTTGAAGGTGCCGATTTCTCAAACTCACCTGCAAGGCTCTTACTAGAATAAAGTTCAGACTTAATTAGAAAGCAGCTCCAAAGAAATCAAAATTTAAAAAGAAATTCTACAGTTACATTTGTGAAATAGCATACATTTCACTGTACTATTGAGCAGGCTACATGTCCACTTGGCTGGAGGATGACACCCATCTGTCCACTGAGTAAGAGAATGATGACCAGGAGTGTATTTAAATGATCCAAAATGTCACCTGCTGTCACCTGCAGCTCTTAGGCATTACAAAGTGGGCCTGTAGAGCTGGGTATGTAACGTAACATGTCGTACCCAAAAAAATTCTCCCTTTAGGTTAGCTTATAAAAAAGGAAAGGTAACAAGAACAATAGTGGAAATAGTGAGTTAAAATGCAACATTTACAGTAAGAGTCAGTCTGCTGAGTAGCTGTGGGGGGGAAAATGTGGGGGGTTGACCACATCTGATAAATGTCGACCTCACTTCCACACATCTCGGTCACAGATGATATGAAATTCTAACCCGCTGAGTGGCGTTTTTGACCAAGGTTGGTGTCCGTGCCCCAGAGATGAACCTGGCTTCAAAGTCAATGAGACCTCTTCCTGTTGCCTTCAATAAACACGATCTGCCTCAATTGGACCTGCCCAGTATTGTTAAAAAATCCCCCTGAGCCCAACTGGATGTAAATTGCTGATTTGTATCATGCAGTGCGCTTGTGTGGAAATATTTGCATTCATTGTGTTTGTCCTCCCATTTAATGAGCGTTTCCCTAAAACCCATCACCATGGAAAGAGATTTTCTAAAAATAGCAGCCCATACAAAGATTTGGACACCATGTCTAACCCCAAAGAAATGACGGCAGAAATATATATATATTTTCAAAAAGGGCTGTAACTTCCAACTTTCACTAGAGAGCAGTGTGTGTTAGTTCACTTCCCTCAGAGTTCCGCTACAGCAGCAGTGATCAGAGTGGAAGCTGAAGCACGAGTTCCCCTCATTAGCCTTCGCACTGCTGTTAGATCTCTGGGCTCTGAAGGGACAACAAACAAAGCAGTGCGGCCGGTCAAGACAAGAAACAACTGCTTACACATAAACAGGACAGTAATAAGGCATGTTATTACCATTTCAGGAGCTTAAAAACAGAAACTCCCCCTATTCAGTTGTTGTTCAGGATGTTTCTACTCTAATTCAGATAGCTATTTCAGAGATTGCTTCAGAGGACATGTCAAACAAACTAAGCACATCAGTAAAACACAAAGAATTGTGAGAGCATTGACATTAAGATCTACTGGAAAGTTTTGCAGAGGCCAGATCCACTGAGGTCAGCCGGCTGTTGTTAAAGATTTGAAACTGCTCAAGGACCCTTACAGACATGTTCTTTTTTTTTTCACATCAACACCAGAAAAATGGACTTTACAGACATTGGAATGGGGACATCATATGGATATTATTTTTTAAAATCTAAGGTGGAACTGAAAGAATACACCAAAACATCAGCACCTGTCACATTTCAAACTAATCTGGCTTCTGTAAAGCTCCAGGGTAGCCTGCTTCTGTGTAGGCGCTCACAGATACACGTACGAACACTTGCTCTTGCCCTCTACGCCGCGGCATTACACTGGATTATTCTTGACCCTCCCTTCCTTCCTTTCCCGATATACCAACAGAGAACGCCCAGGGTGGGGATTCAGAGGCCAGAGCAAAGGAACTGCCTGATCATCAGCTTCGGACATCCAGAGGCAGAGCAAACACACACACACACACCCACTGGTCCATAAAAACCTGAATCACTCAGAGTTTCCTCAGAAGTCTCAGTACGCGTCTCAGCATCAGCACGCTGTAGGTGGGTTTCGGAGCTCACCGTCTCGCCAGAAGCCGATATTTTCTGAGAGAGGGAACTGATAAAAGATGAGTGTTCCGGGAAGGCCAGTCACACTTGTTCTGTTCTGCCTGTTTGGCTCAGGTGAGTGAAACAACTTGAATGAGTGTTATGAGAAACTGTAATTAGACAAACTTGCTATACAGATTACAGATTATATGATACAGACAAGGTTTTAGTAGCTCTATCTGACAATGCAAATAGATGTTTTTATATATTTTTTACAGTGTTTAAAAATAAGAAACATTTCTAATTGCATTTTTTCACACTTAAAAATTGACTCAATTTTACTCAAGCATTTCCATTTCAGTTGTACTGGGGATATTTTTCAGAGGGAATATTGGACTTTGAATAGCTTTCTGGATAGCTTTAGAAGCTTTAAAACAAGTCCTGCAAAAAAGATTTATCGGAAAGATAAATACAAGACTGCTACAGATGAAAAGCTGTGTACTATTACATCAACCTGTAAGGGAGCCATGAACTGTTCAGTTATTCTTAGGCTTTGTAGAAGCCATTTGTTAAAATGGTGATATTCTGTATAGAAAAGGGGTTTTGGTGGTTCTTCCATCTCACCGTGTTTGAAACTCTGACGTCATCAAATCATAACTGGAGGCAACTGGCAGAGTGACAAATGGGGAAAATAACAATAAATTCTGACAGGCAGCATGCCTTCTGCGAGTGAGATCATCTGCTAGGCCAGAGAACTACCTCAGGATTCCGAACAATGGTCAATTCAAAAGAGGAGTGAGTTCTTCTGACTTGGGCAGGGTGTCCTTCCTTCCTCAGAGGAACACACTGGGTGTATTCAGTGCACAATACACAATGGATCAGCAAAAAGGGTATTATTTCACAAGATGGCAAAATTTACTTGACCCTTGCCTGTGTTTTGCAGAGATAGGAGAACGACTCATGAATTACAAGCTCACGGTGCCAAAGTAAATCCAACAGATGCATCACTACATTTGTATGTTTCGTTCCTGTATCACGAGCACTTCTCTAATGCTGGGAAAGCACAAAATCTGATCCGAAATCATAAAGTTTAACTTATCACTGACAACTTGTGATTGGGTGACAGGTTAAATAACTCACCAGCATTGAAGCTGCTCAAAAAAACAAACAGAAAAAGCAAGATTACAAGAATATTGATTAAAATTCCAAGGTTTAGAATGCTGTCATGATCCGGGAGTCCAAATGTTCACAGTCAGCATGTTTACTTTAGAAAAGAATCAGAATATTAACCCAAATTCAAAATCGTCCTGGATGTAGACATCCATTGAGATTGAAAGTGGTAGTTTGTGTGAAAGAAAATCCTCTTATCAGACGTATCTGCAAGAAGCCATTTGAACTTCATGTTTACGTTTGCAAAGTGATTTATTGTGTTATGCTTCCTCTCCCACCCCAACTGACCCTGTGCCCTCAGCTACCTCATCCCCTGTCATCAATTACACACCTGATCCACCTCTTTCATCACAACTTTCACCCCCATCTTCCTTCCCCTCACTCAGCCTCCCATCAGGCCTCCAGCCCCCCAGCCCTGGAGAGTCAACAGAAGAAGCGGGCTGCCAACTGAAGATCTCCCCCTCAACTCTTGTGGTCAGGTATGGTGGGAATGGCTGAAGGGCGGTGGTACTTAAAAAGGCCAGTTAATCAGAAACAGAAAAAAAAACTAGAGTTGAGTAGCTCAAGGAAACATATTCTTCCCCACATTTTTCAAATAAAAAGAACTTTACAAAGTGTTAGTGCTCATAAAATCAGTCTTAATAAAAGAGCATCTTCTCTCCCACAGATGCCTTTTGGATATTTACTTTGGACATTTTCTATGTAAAACAAGAGCCTATTTAGAAGTGCTGACAGCATGCATACTTTTCTGACAGAAGTTCATTTATATTTCATGAATAAACAATATTAACAAAAACATTTGGTAATTATCAAATAGATCAGAGCTTTTTAATCTTGTCTTACTTGCGCATTAAAACAAGCAAACTAAATTCCTTTGACAATGTGTAAAATTGATAAAAAGGCTGATAAAGAAAATCTCTTGAACTCTCCTTTCATAGGTTTGGTGAACAAATCAAAGCCAACTGCTCAAAACCTCGGATCGGGTTTCCTTACCTTGGCTGGGACACAGCACCGGTAGGAGAACCACACAGAAGTATTGGGCAGTCTTTGATTAAACTACCAAGTATACAGTCTCTTTTTTTACTTATTTTAATATTTAAAAAAATTGACAGCATTGATTTGTGTAAATCCAGGCAGATAGCCATACAACTACAGAGGATTTTCTGGTCTGGAGTTTGGACAATGTGACCACGTGGAACATGACGCCTACGTGTTTTGCACTTTCTGACGTGGGAGGGTCGTGTACCCTTAAGCTTCCTTTAATCATCTACCGTGAGTTTTAAGTACCAATCTTTTGATATGTGAAGATGTGGATAAAGCCCTTTTGTGTGAACGATCTCCATCTCTGCAGAACCTCCAAACAGAGTCTCCATCACATTAGTCAATACCACTTGGCCGATGTTGGAGGGACAGCAGTACGTTCTGCAGTGCACCGTTCACAACGTGGCACCTGTTGAAAAGGTCACTGTGACTTTCTACAGAGGACAGAAAGAACTGGCTCAACTCAAGTCCAACATCACAGAGAAGTCACCTGTGAATGAGAGCTTCAATCTGAGCATCATCCCCTGTAAGGAGCATGACAGAACCCAGTACTGGTGTGAAGCCAAGCTGGAACTGGGACCTGCAGGACCACAGCTTCCGCCTGTGGTGAAGTCAGAAAAACTCACAACACTTGTCCAGAGTGAGTAAACTTACTTACATTTATTGTTATATATTCGTTACATATACATATATATATAAACATGGCTCTGTTTTTACATGAATGTTTCACCCCCCCCCTCAGCAGGTCCACAGCTTGTTCACCCTGTAAAGCAGCAGCTGAAAGACAGTGTCAAATGTGAGGTGAAAGTAAACCCACCATCAGGAAACAGCGGTAGGTTTAAAAAGAAAGTCAAATTGGACATAATTTGTCAGAATAATTGCCCTCTACCTAGAATGAGGAGAGCTGCTTTCACATAATCAAAAGGGAAAAACTGAGTTATATTTGTACTTATGAGTTAATTTCCTTTTCCTCAGGAACTACAAACAGCAGTAGAGGATGTTTCTTGTTGGCAGCCCTTCTTGCTCGGATTTACTTTCTGTAAAAAACAAATGGTGATGAGTCATCTCTCCAAACTTCTGCTGTGTGAACTGCTCATCGGGGAAGACACTGCTTCTTTACAACACAAAAACAGACATTTCCTATGCGTGCATCTTCATTTTTAACAAGTATTTCTAGAAGCAGGTAACTTTCCCTTTCAGAGCTACTGATCAGGTACATACTGCAAGATTAAACTAGGTCGAGTTGAATATTTTCTAAATGATTGATCGGAATTTATGTTTCATCTTGGATATATTGAAATATAGTCATACATCTGTTATGTGCTTTTGTCTCATTTGTCCTTTCTGAGTAAATAGTAAACACTGGATGTTTTGGTCTACCACTGGTAAGAGAAAAAGGAAAAGAAGAAGTTATATTTAGAAAATGTTTGTAACAGCGTTTGATACATTAATTTATCAATCTGTCATTGCCACCCAAACACCAGAGAGGTTCAGGAGAATGTGTGGACGATGCAGGCCTCTCACAGTTGCTCTTCACATATGTATGCAACAGTGGGAGATTTTTTACTGAGGATGCACTCCTACAGTGTGAAATATGAGGGAGTATCTGTCCATGATGCACAGGCGGCAGATGATTATGAAGAAGGCACACAAGTGTGTTTTCATTCCAATACAGATAAGGCCCCAAGTTATGTTATAGTGTCTATGCAACATGCACCAGAAGCTACACGGTGAGGGAAGCAGTCAAGGCGCCTGTGGATCAGTCTCTTACCAGCATCTTAGCCAATGGTCTTCTGGATATTTGAGACGAGCTGGTCAAATCTAGTGAATATTTGTGCTCGTGTCACCCCTTCAAAAACATTCTCTGGAACATTTTAGAGAATGTTTGAAAATACCTTGCACATCAACAGAAATTAATTCATTTTCATAAACTCAAAACTGGTTTTAAAGGACTGAAGAGCTTTGTTGGCAAACACTGAATGAAAAACTTGATTATGCTGACATGAGAGGCTGTAGTCTATAACCAACAACACAAGCTCCTTTAACATTTAGTTCGGTATATAACAATTTATTCTCTTAGCAACATATTCCATAGCCAGTTAATGTTAAGTTAAAAAACAAAACACTTGTGGTCTGCAGGAAAAGTAGTTAGTGTATTGTAATATGGGCATCACTAGAACCAATAAGGACCTGACCTGGGCTTTCATGTCTTCCGGCTCCATCCTGGGGCAGCCCTGGCAAAACCTGACTCACTCCCATGGGGAAATCAACAGGGCTGGACTGAGGAGGTGGAGGAGGACTTTTGGCATCTAAACCATGGCTCCAGTGTTTTGCAACAGCTGCTGCTAAGACCTCAGGGGAAAGTGGGAGGTTTTTCTCATGAGAGGGTGCGTCATTAGCAAGAACATCAAGGTGCAAATGTGTGAGAGCAGATGTTGCGTTGACTGGAGGTTTGTCTCCAACAAATGATGAGGAAAGGGCAGGAAACTCCGGTTTAACTTCACCCTTTTTCAAAATATCACCTTGTTTTCCATCACCGTCAAGATATTTGGGCATGTTTGAACCCGCTTTGAGGATAGAATCTGTTCTCTGGGGAGCTTCTCCCAGATTTGGAATTCCCTGATGATTGCAGCCATCGGATAATTTGGAAGCACCACTGATGGAAGATGTCCCCTTCAAGCACTTTGTCTTGTTCATTCTGAACATATGAGAGGAGATTTAAAGTTGGTTCATTTCTTTTTGATCATATTAAACAAAATTTATGCTCAGCCACATTTTAGCTGGCCGTTAACTTGCAGCTGAACTCACGGTAATGAAGTAGAGAGACCCAAAAGTTTCTTGCTCTCTCTCATTAGTGCCCTGAAGCAACAAAACAAATGCATATATGTGCAGAGATGTGAAGAACTGCTATTAGGTTAAGGTCTGGATTTTAAACACTACATACCTAGACTGCATCCATCCTTTTGGCCATAGTGGTTTGACTTCATTATCCAGTAGAGATTTAAGGCTCTCTTCAGTCTCAGGACCTCCTTTATCTTTAGATTGGTTCATTCTCTCCTTCAACACATGACCCAAGCACTCTCTGTGCAACAAGAAAAAACAAAACAAAAACGAGACATTAAGGTAAATCCCCTTATTCACCTTAGATTTGTGTATTCTTTGTTTACGAGGGAATTTTTAACCATGAAAACTAGTGACCTGATCTCCTGATTCCATTTGAACAACTTCTTTGGACCCCCTTTTCTGCCACTTTTCTCCTCCGTGTGTTCCTCCTCTGTAACTCTGGTAGCATACAAAAGTTACAAACAAGATTAAGCCCTGCAAGTCAGGAGAATTTATTCAATAAATAAGTATATTACAATGTTGCAAAACAAAAACCCTGTCAGCATAAAATGAATCCACTAAGAAATACTGATAACTTACTTTAAAGTTTTGACCTGTTCATATGCTTGGCAGCTTTCACTGAAACATGCGATCTGTTCAGGCATTGATCTTCCAATGGCCTCTTTCAGTTTCTGCAGGGTATCTTCCAAACAAGGCGACTCCTCCTTAAAGAGAGACTGAATTAATCCCAAACACTCAATAGCCTCGCACAATGCAAACAAAAACCTGAGCTCACTCACCACATGTGAGATTAAGAGTTTCTTCACCCGTTTGAAGAGAGTATCTTTGCTACAGGGCATGAAAGACGACATATGTCTATACACCTTGGAGCGGAGCTGGCCACCCTGCTCCTGACACTGCAACTCGATACTGGATCAAGACAGTGAATGTGAAAAAATCTACATCAACCCACTGCTCTGCTTAACTGAGGTTCAAAGGCTTAATGACTATCTTAGTTTTTAGAAAATTCATGTAATTGGTCTTAAACCAGGGTTGCAAAGAAGGGTAACTCACTCAAGCAAGATTGAGTTGATTTCTGGATTGAAGAACTTCAGTTTTGACTCCCCTTCTGATATCTTAGCAGCCTTTAATGGAAGAAGAAAAAAAAAAAAAAATAAATAAAAAAAGAGGAAAAAAAATTCAAATGGTGGGCATTTTTAAATTCCTCCTGAATTTGTGTGCTGACATAAATTTAGTTAATCATTATGTGTACACACTTGCATGCTTTAGTATAAATAAATAGCCAAGCCTTACCACCATGAGCTTTCTGATGCTATCCTCCAGGCCTGGGGCGAGCCCCTCTGGCAAAGGGGCAGACTGTTCTGCAGTAGAACTGGGTTTGGACTGCACATGGGTTTGCTCTGGATGAGGTACCGGCTGATAGTTGGACCCTAGATTCAGAACTTGTACTTCCATATTGGATGCACCGTCTTGATGCGTCTGCTCGTCTGCCCTGTTTTGGAGCACACGTGGCTCTGTTGCAGTTTGAGGATGAGACCTTGGTGACAAAGAGTCTTCACTGACATCTAACAAAGAGTCTAAATCGATATCAAAATCAACTGTGCTAGCTGCTTGGATAAGGGCGTGATCAGTGGTGGAGCCAATCAGACAGAGCAGAGGGTCAGTTAGTCCTGAGCCGCCACCACCGGCGGCGTCTGCCGGGAACAGGGAGGGTGGTGCAGCACCTGTGATTGCTGTCGACTTTGCCATCCTCTGCCGTTCTTTGTCTTTTTCTCTTTGAAACTTTTTCAGCATGCTGGTGACACTCAGTGTCTTCACTGCCCTCTTCTTTTTGATCTTAATCTTTTCATGTCGTCCACTTTCAGGCAAACTGCTACAAGGTCAACACATTGTTAGAGCACAGTTAAGCTACAAGTTCACACAAACTAAACAGGTGTTGTATTTTCCAGCCTCACCTTGGCTTCAGATGTGCATAGCCTTCCATCTCTTCACTTGCTTTGCACAGCTTCTTCTTTGGCTTATCCTGTTCACCGAGGAGTTTACGTTTCTAACAATTTGTGGCAAGGAGTTAAGTGTTGCACAAAGATCTAGAAGCCTTAGGCTGGAAATATACTTGCCATTTCACCATCGCTTATGAAAGAAAAAGCCTCTGTTCTCAGTTTCCAAGCCTGAATAATAAAGTTCTAACCAGAAGATTTCATAAAAAGGCCCACCTGATCACTCAGTGGAAAAAGATGCTGCCAGATTTACAGAACAGAAGCTCTCTGGTATTCACTATGCATAGAACGGACGGGCATTTTGGTAGTTGCAACAGTATTTTAAACAGGGGCTTAAACTATGCACATAGTATGCACATCATACATTCTTTCAATGAGCAAAAATGAAAACATCGCAAGCTATACACTCCTACCAGTTACTAAATACAGCAGCTGATGCACTAAACAAAGACAGTGTAGGTGACCCAGCCATGATAAGCATGCAGCGGTGACAGCAAGTATATTTCCAGTCTAATGACATCCAACTGAGAGGAAGAGTGAGGAAGTTTACGTTTGAGAACATTTCTAAATCAATTCTACTTCCTGAAATTGAAAGGGGGGGGGGAGTTGTTTCCAAAAAGCACCACTCACTTTTGTGGGCTCAAATGTCCTCTCTTCTGCCATGAAGTCTTCATTCTCTGTATCAGAGGCCTGGCGGAACTGCAGCATCCCCGAATTCACATAGAATCCACCGAATTTGGTGGTGATGGAGGATGGCACAAACTCATCATACTAGAGACCAGTCAGAAGGTAGCATATTCTTTTTAGAATCAGAAATATTTTCAGCCCAAAAAAAAAAGAAAAAACTAATAGAAATGTTAATCAGAGACAAATTAAGTAACTTCTCGACAAGCACAATACTAGCATTGGCAGCAACCAGGCCCAAAGTAATGTTAGAAAAACTGGACAATCATAAAACTACTTTACTCAGCAACTCCTGTTAGGTGCCACTCAGATCCCCTTTCTCCCATGTTGCCCTCTCTACATTGGCCACTGTGTAAATTTAAAAATTAAAATCCATATCTTATATAGAAACCAAGACCAAACTGTTACTCCAATCAAATATTTGCCAAGAATATTATGGGAGGCATAGCATTCAGTTTTAAGGCTCCTTTCTGTTCAAATTTTTTCTCTGTTTTGACATTCTCTGCATTTCAAATGAAGCTGTATACAATTGATTAAAAGAAAAAACAAACTAACTAACCTCTGAAAAAGCCTATACTCATTTAATTTAAATTCCTGGTTTTGTTTGGAAATGCCAATTCATGAGTATACTGCAATTGGACTAGATATGAGTTACAGTAACAATGTTGTCTTTGCATTCTGACTCACAGCCTCCGAATTGTCAATGAAAGAATCTTCTTCATCATAACCGTAACCAATGTCAATCAAGTCCTGGATGCGGTCCTTTTTCTTATGTTTGCCACCCTGCAATGAGAAAATGTATCTTTAGCATAATTTGAAAATGACAACCATAAACAACCATAAAGAACAAGAAGAAAAAAAATTGCAACTCACATATTTTTCCTCCAGTTTTCTTGCAATAGCTGAAATTTCATCATGTTCTTCGTTGTGTTCAAGTGCGCTGGGCTGAAAATCTTCCGTTCGGCTGATCTACCAATGTGAAGTTTTAAGAACAATGATATTTCCAGGATAAAAACAAACATAGAAAAGCCAAGTTCTGCTTTAAGTAAAAGAAAAACTGCTTGAAAAATAAAAAAAATAACTGCAGGTTGTTGGAAGCCTGCTGCAGAGTCCAAATAAATCTAAGATGATTTCATGAATCCATTTGTAACCACTACAGTTTGTTGATTAATTGGATGGAAAAAGCATTTTCTTACATCCAAAGAATCTAATCTTTGCTTTGACAAAACAAACAAAAATAAAGGACTTCATGACAAACTTCTGAGCCATTTGTCAATAGGAATGACTTCAAATGTAATCCAACAACATTATGACGTTTTCCTAGCCAAGTTAACATGCTGGTATTTATTCGACTCTTACACCTGGTGGACTGACATCCATTACCACAGTAGAGTGTTTTTTAGGATGGTACAAGTAGTTATTTTCCCCCATGCAGTATCGGAATGCCCACCTTCTTCTCCACAAGTTGGGAGTAGCTGAACTCGGGAAAAGTCCGTTCGTCTGGCTCAAATAAAGTAAGAACGAGCCGTACTGTGTTGGGGTCGACTGGTCGGTCTGAACCGCCTTCTTTGGCCTCCGGAACATCCGTGCAGGCCGTGCTAACAGAAGCGGACTTGTTAGCTGGTGAGGACGCATCACAACTCAAAGTGGTCAGCTGAACTCTCCGGGACTCAGCCATTGTGTCCATCGACCTCTGCGGTTTGGTTTGAGGGACCGAAAAGGTTTAATTACTCATAAATTGATTCAGGTGTGCGTGTCACGTGATGTCCCTGCTCCACAGCCAATGGCGTCGCTCTGTCGTGCCGCCTAATAAGTTTTTAACTTCTGATTTTCACGACGAAGATCTTTTTGATCCGATTTAATGGGAAGTATAGAGTCTTTAAAATGGATTTTCGATAGTTTAAACTGATTTTGTTGAACAGCTTAACTACGATTAACATTCATCCATTATGAATGCTTATTATCCTGATCTACCACCAGGCAGGTGCCACATAATGGCGAATTATACAGAAAACGTATTTTAGAGAAAACCTATTATCGTTCAATTAATCAAGTTCATCCATCCATCCATTATCAATACCGCTTATTCCCTCATGGGGTCGCGGGGGGAACTGGAGCCTATCCCAGTGGTCAACGGGCGAGAGGCAGGGTACACCCTGGACAGTCAATTAATCAAGTTTTTAATTTAATTAACTTTTTTTTCAGAAAGTTTCCTCCACACTAGTTGACGGCGTTCACTGCGTTGTTTTAGTGGTGAAGCTGATGTGTAAGCAACCTTGAACAGGCCAATGAATCGTCACAGTATTATCTGGATCTCTATTAAGCCTAACGTATTGATAGTGAGATTCTGAATGTAATTAAATGTTTCGTGTTTGCTGCACTGTACTAAAATGTTTGGTTTTATCATCTGTCTCAGGAAACATTCAAAACCACATAGGAGCAGAATTGCGCCTGATTAATCAAGACATGCACCACGCCTTCCTCACCGCAAGAGGTCGCTAAAGATTCATGAGAACTTCGAGGTATTTCAGGGTGTTTAATTTGCTTTCACAAGAAACTCATCATTGTACACAAATTAGACATATCCACGTTTTTTAAACAAGTTTACAGGTCAAAAGAGAATAAAGATTCACCCAGCTGTGATGAATAAAAAAACTCACTATAGATCACCATTAGGGGACATATGTACGTTCAAAGTGACTCATAAAACCTTTATTAATTCAAAAAATGTTTGATGGGTGCAAAAGCGATTCTAAACATTGATGTAATTAATAAAGAGACAGTTTATATTTTCAGTCCAGATTTGAAAAATAAATACGGGGGGGGGTTATTTGTCAGAGGTTAAGCCCTGACTGCAGTGTGTTTGTAAATGCTGGACTTAAGGGGGGGGAGAGACTAATTTGTAAGCCCTACACTTTCTCATGCTGCCTGCACTGAGCTTGCAATGAATTGACTTTGACAATTACAATAATGGGATAATTGCAATCTGTCACCATACATTCAGTGTTAGCCTATGACAAAATAACCAATCCAAACGAGACTCCCTCCACACACATGCCCCTGATCTGCATACCGCACATGGCACCCCACTTTGTAATTATAAATGAATTTCACGGTGTGAGGCTTTTAATGCAAATAATATGGATCTTTTTTTCCCCAACTCTCCTCAACAGGACCGAGTATATTTGTGTGTGAGTGCAGAGGGAGAAAACGACCATGTGTGTGTGCAGGGGATCAGATTGCAGACAAGCTTTGTTTGACTAGCCTGTCCTCTCAAATGAGTTAATGGGATGGAAGTTATTTGCCTCCCAAAGCTGGAGATGCGGGGCTGAACAGAAGAGGTGGAGGGGGACAGGAAGGAGTCAATAAGCGTGTGGGACACAATGAGCAGGACAAAGACAGACAGATGGAGACGGCAGGGGTAGCCTTGGTTGTGTGTGTGTGTGTGTGTGTGTGAGTGTGTAGTGGTTTGGTTACTGACAGGGACCCCATCAGTGCAGGATCAGAGTGGGGAAATTGGAGGACAATGTTGGAAGAGGGGTGCGGGGGATAATTTAAAGTGATCGGGGAGGCGGTGTCCCAGAGGTGCATAATTTACTCATTCATTAACTAGACCAAACAAGAGCCAATATTAATTAACTCAATCCTCGCATCTTGCTCCCCGTGAAGCGCATGCTTCGTTGTCAAATGGTCACCAAATTCTTGGATGTACAGCCTTTGAAATCAGGCCTGATGGGCCAGGGGGTGAAGGAGGCTGTCAGCAGTGATTATGTGCCTGAGAGCAGATTTTTATGCTTTGAATAGAAAAAAGACAAACAGTTAAGTTATTTGGGCTTGTTTCTTTATTCACACTCAGCACAAATTTTCTTCACACTCTATTACCCTAAATTTAAGAGTCAAATGTACATTACTAACCTTATCACAATAGTCTAGAAACAAAGTATTTACACAAAAATAGTGTTCCCAAAAAATAAATGCTGAAATAAAGTAATGACATTTCTATGACACAATGAAATTGGGGAAATTTAGCGGATAAACATAATAAATATCACTTTCCTGGCTGAAGATTATTTGAATATGTTGTTGAAATTAAATAAAATACTTGCATGTATGTTTTTAAAACACAACTTATAGCAATGCACAGCTCCTGAGATTTAACATGTAAACATCCATTGACCAGCAGAGATGAAATAATGAACAAATAGCCATTTGCATCAGCACTAATGACAAAAACTGTTTTCATTTTTGCCAAGATTTTAGGAATTAGCTACTCCACTAATAAAGACGACAGATTAATCTGATGAAAATGCAGAAACTCTACAAAGGTGTTTTTTCTCATCACACGTTTTCCCCTTCTTCTCCACTGGGGGGTGCTCCCCCTCTTATTCTGGTTTGCTGTCAGGCCCTGCTAACTCTGATTAAGGTTTAAATTGGCTGAATTTAATGAACGTTGCCTAATTAGGCAGGATAACAGCTTTAATTGATAAGTAATTATTTGCCGCAAATTGTTATTAATTCTCAGGCTCTGTCATGTAATGCACCAACTCTAAAACCTCCCCCCCCTCAGAACCCCCTCTCCCATCTCCCCCTGAAGCATTTTCTATTTATGTAAACAAGCAGCGGTAAACAATTAGGCATATGTTTGGATGGGATATTCCAGAGGGTATCATCAGCCTGCGCTCGGTCGACTGACAGTTTAAGTGAAATTATTCGCCCTCACCGATATTTTTGAGCTTGAATTGCTTTAACTATTGTCATGTTGGCTCTGTGCCATCTGCCGCACTGTCACATCTGAGGAAATAAAACTGGAAGAAAAGCAGGAAAAATCTTTTCTTCGTCTGATAACTCAGTTCTATATCATATCACATCGAAACTGAACTAAAGCACCACTGTAACAAATGTTATAAAGGTTATCCGTTTTCAAAGCACAGCTGGTAATCATTTTCTGGAAGATTGTTATAAGAACCAGAAAGTTTTGCATTCCGACACATTTTTGTCTTTAGAATATCAAACATTGAAAAAGAAGGCAATACAGAAAACACTGTATAGACCAGGTTTTAGGATTAAGGCTTTGTAATGTCATAGATTCTGCAAAACATGCTTTGAGAATAACTTTCTTACTATTGAATCAGCTCATATTTAAGGCTCATATATGCTGAACATTAAATAAGCAGGCAGATACAGATTGATCCACCCGCATTTGCTTTGTGTGGAGTGGGGCAGTGCTGTGCAGATAACTCGCACAATTAACAAAAGCAACAAAGAAGAAAAACACAAAAACAACTAATTTAATGGCTTTAAAGACCACTACTGTTTACTATGGTTTCTACCTGTTTTTTTATTTAGTCTCTCTCCGTAAAGATGCAGTTACACGTTGTTTTCCTCAGCAGCCATGTTGGCTGTTTAATTTGACTCTTTTTAAGACTTTTAAGGACCAGCGGCCACCTAAGAAATTACCTCTGGTGGAAGTATTGCCTAACAACTCGGCTGAAGGTAAATTCACATAGAAGTATCTGGGCAATGAAGATTGACAAAGCTTGAAATGGACATTTAAAGGAATTCAAGAGGATGAAATAAAATATGATTTGTTCTCATTATTTCAGATGGACTGGCGCCCTTTAAACCCTGTCGATTGCCCAATGTCAGCTGGGATATGCTCCAGGATTTTGACTAAATTTATGAGTCTCCGCATAGTCAAAGGACTTCCATAAACCTGTGTCTGTCATTGGTAGAGGACCCATATTTTGCAATTGAGCCATATTGAGCATTTGGGGAGGAAAAAAGCTCAACGAAAATGTTAAATGTAAGTGATTTGAGCTGGAGGTTGTATAAAAATATCTGTGGCTCAAAGGGCACAAAGCCCTAAAAACACTTGAAATGTGATGGTGCTGCTCAAACTAACATACATCATTGGCCTTGGACAAATTACAAGCTTGTTTAACAGCGATTACCACATCGATAAGAGTTGCATAAAAGAAGCTGATGGGTATTTGGGTCTACATACAGACAATAGATTTTCTCATTAGTGTTGTTCATAGTAGGTTTGTATTAGATTGACCAACACATCCAAACGGGGTGAAATGAGATTTTATCAGCTCTTAATAAAGCTTCGTAATTCTGGACTAGAAGGGTTCTAACCTGGGTCATATCACGTCTGCCAAAGCTTTGTGAGAGGACGGGCCTGGGTTTCTGTCAGTGCTCATGGGCCGCTCTGAATGAGCCATTCATCAAAGTGATTCAAATGAGATGCAAAATTTAAATGAACTCGCTTCCTAATTAAGTCCTTCTTCCTCAGAACAGCTTTAAGCTCAGTTGTTTATTTATTTTTCTTTTTTTTGCAGTATTGGGGGTTTAGGTTTCCCCTGCTACTCCTTGTGTTCCTACCCAGCGTCACTCTGGGCAGATGGTTTTGTTGGGCTCCACTAGCCAGCCAGTGTCTGAGAAGGCCCATCCATTTTTCTCCTGCATACACCGGTCCATCAGATCCCACCGCGTTCCATCCACACATGTGCACACGCACAAGCTTTAAAATGATCAGCGACGAAGAGGGGGGGGCAGGTACTGAATGTGTTAAATGTGCATGCAAATAGTTGGAATTGGTGCGTGAAAAATTGTACTTAAATTGCTATATTTTGAAAATGTTCATTTGCATTGTGGATTTCCCTGCGGACTAGAGGG